CGACCATGCAGGAGCTAGGGCTGTAGCTCCGTCGTGCCCAGGGACGCTCCTCGCCCGTCCCGCACAGCTTGAGCAGCTAAACCTGGTGCGGCACGCTTTAACCAGTGCGTTAGGAATTTTAAACCCAAAATTTACACCCGGGCTCCTCAACCCCTGCCTGGGAGACAGCCTCCCTTCAACTTACTTAGAGATGACCCTACCTCGAGTGCAGGACGGGACTAGATGGCCCTTGCAGCCCTCCTTCCCTGGGGCCCCCTCTGGAGGACAAGCAGGATCGTGGTGCTGGAGCTCTAAAGCTAGTTCAGGTGAAGCCCCTCCACTCTTGCACCCCTCCACACAATCACCCCCGCCGTCCATAGCTCTCCCTGTCCTGCTCCCCAAAGCCTGCCCGAGCTGCAGCGACAACCAACGGAAGCTGGGGCAAGCACTTCTCAGTTCACTGGATGCAAAACCTTCTCTTCAACATGTCCCCCCTCCCAACAGCCACCCACTCTCACACCAGTGTTGAGCAGCCCTTCCCACAACTTCTGTATGTTACCCAACACCACCCCATACTCCTTCCTTCTGCACCCAGAAAGGAGGCAGCACCCCCTGGAAAGTGAGGGAGAGCCCCCAGTGCTTTATCTGGCTCACAGGACCAGTATAAAGACAGATTCATGCTGCCTGGATGGAGGAGTTGCTTTGGCTGCCATTAGCACATCTTCCCAATTAACTGCTGGCAGCTGGGAGGTTCCAGTAAATAACCTCCAGAAAACTAAGCTCATGGAAATGGGAGCCTAGGGAATTTCACAAGCAGGGCATCCTCCATCTGCACAAATATTAACCTCTGGCTGGCTGGCTCAGAAGGGCCCCAGGCTGCCCAGCACATTCCACCTCCCCTCCCCCTCACCAGGCACAGCTCTCTTCCCTCTCCAAGAGCTCCAAAGACAGTTCTCAGCAAGACAGCTCAGCACTGATTCAATTAAAGAAGACAGAGAAGGAGCTCTGCATCACAGGTGATGGGAAATGGAGCCGGAAGGTCTCCTGTAGCTCCTCTAATGGAGTACTGAGGTCCGGTAATAGGCACTAATCTGATCAGGACGCATTCCCCAGGTCAGATTAGCACGCCTTGGCAGGAACGTAGTGGGGAGAGAGCTGTAATGGAAGTAGCCCCATCCATCTGCTGATCCACTTTGCAGAGCTTCTCCCCCTCCTCTCCTGGCTGTTACTGATTAAGAGGATAAGAGCTACAGGCCCAAAGGTGGAGTAGAAAATGACACTAAATGGCAGGGAGATGGGGAAGGGCAGAAATGGCAAGATGTAGCCTCCTCCTTATGCCTCCTGCATGGTAGGGCAGAGCTGAGCTCCTGATTCCACCTGTGTCTGCAGCAGGGGTGGCTGATTTAAGTCCTCCTTGAAAGTGGCAGTGGTACCAGATGGTAGTCTGCCCCTCCCTCCTCGGAGTTAGGGCAGAGAGCCCCCAAGCTCAGCTTAAGGCTGCTCTCTATTGACCGCCTGCCTCCATTAGGCTGCTCTGAAGAGGCTAGATGGCCCTTTAACACAATTAGGGCTGCTGCAGGGGCCAGCAGTCTTAATGGAAGGCAGTGAGATACGGCTCTGGCCCCAACTCAGCATTGTGGGGAGTGTCACACATGCACCGAAGTGCCAGAGATATGCACCTGGCACAAGCAAACCTGGCAGGTCCCCTATGGGTGAGGGTGTAGATTTCTCTTGGGCAGATACAGCTCTTTGTCTGTGTCCACCCATTCCATCCCTCTGATTACCCACAGAGAAGCTCTGTCCAAAGACACTTGATTTTTAATTCAACCCATGTGGCAGCCCAGAAATACAAAAAAAAGAAACAAATCGAAACATAAAAACACTGATAGGGCAAGAAAGCGAGGGGCCTAGGAGCCCTTGCAGCCAGCTCCCCAACACTCCCCCACCACACTCTTCACAGCCTATCACACAAAGGACCCCCCAAGTACCCTTCAGTGACATGCAAAGAAAGGAAGTGTGTGCTTCCTAAACCCTCACCAGCAGGAGCTGTGAAGGATGGTAGAGCTCAGGGAGCAGGACACAGCAGGAGGTGGCTGGGGCCAGGGCAGAGGCATCAGGGAAGGAGCAGAGCCAAGGTCTGGTTCTAGCCAATGGTGTGGACCTCAGTATGACACCACCCCTCCAGTCCTCCCAGTTGGATGACGGGAAACCTGGGTGCAGAGGACTGGGCCTTGCCCTGCTGACATAAGAAGAGTGTCATTGGCTCAAGGGGCGGGGCTGAAGGGAGGGCAGGGGTAGGTTCTCTAATCTGAGCCAGATGCTGAGTCCTCTGAGCTGGGGGGTGTGCTGGCAATCTCCTCCTCCTCCGAGTCCTGGGGGAATGCATGAAAAGAGAGAGTCAGCCGGTGACACATGCAAGAGCCATGGGTACAGCAGCCAGCTGGAGGATGGGGCCCCCACCCATGGAAGGCAGTGATGCACCTACCTCCTTCTTGCTCTCGCCTGAGGAGCTTTCATCACTGGAGACAAACTCCTTGCTCTTGAAGCTTTCAGTGGTCGGCTTGACTGGGGACTTCGAAGATGGAGATTTGGAAGACACCCCCTTCTTCTCCACTTTCCCCTTCACCTGTTTCTCCTGCTTCTTCTTCTTCTTTTTTGACTTCTCCCTAAATACAAGAGAGCCACCGGGCACAGAGGTTACCCACAGCCACCACCTGGGTCCCTGCCTCTGGGATGGTACAGCCATGGGGGGCTTGCTCACCCCACCCTGGGGAAGTGCCCAGGCTCCACCATAATGGGAGGGAACAGAAGTAATTCACCACAATCTCGCTCACCTTTCCCGGGCAGAATGGGTCCTCCAAAAGGAGACATGACTCCTTATCGCTCCCACCCTCCCCTGGGTTCCCCAAAGGCTGGTGCACTCACGTCCTGGAGCTCTCTGATTTGCCCCCAACACTGTATTCTTTCATGGCCTTCTCATAGTCTCTCTTGGCATCTTCTGCCTTGCGTTCCCACACCTGTTGGAAGTGCACAGTGTCAGTCACAAACCCACAACAGCAATTCCACCCCTGCCCCCCACCCAACATGCTGCTACTCCTGCACCATACACCATCCCACCCCCAACTGGCAATCTCACAACTCAGCAAGCCACCCAACCATCCTAAGGGCCAGAGGATGGCATCCCCCAGGCACAGACCTACCAACACCATCCTGGCAGCCCCGTCGCACCCACACTACCCTAACAATTCAAACATGCTACCACAGCTCCTCCCAGTCCTTTACCTCTTTCTTCTCCCTGGACATGGCCTTCCAGAGCTCCCCAGCCTTCTTGGACAAGTCGGTGATGCTGATGCCAGGGTGGTCTGATTTTATCTTCTCACGACTAGCATTTAGCCAGAGCATGTAGGCAGACATTGGCCGCTTGGGGGCATCGGGGTCCTTGCTTTTCTTACCCTGGGACAGTGGAAGGGGGCAGCAAGGGAGGGAGAAGGGGAAAGAGAGAGAAGCAGCATGAGATCCCCTTAGAGCTCATGGGCTCAGAGGATCTCCTCATAGCAAGGGCTGAGGTCATTCCCCGCCCAAGCCCCATTAACAGCATGGCTAGAGTGGAACACCCCTCGCTTGGGGGCATCGGGGTCCTTGCTTTTCTTACCCTGGGACAGTGGAAGGGGGCAGCAAGGGAGGGAGAAGGGGAAAGAGAGAGAAGCAGCATGAGATCCCCTTAGAGCTCATGGGCTCAGAGGATCTCCTCATAGCAAGGGCTGAGGTCATTCCCCGCCCAAGCCCCATTAACAGCATGGCTAGAGGGGAACACCCCCCCCACAGCCAGGACATCCACTGGGCCCCAGCAACACAAGCCCTTTGGAGGGGAATTATTCCTGATGGAGCTCTACCTGGACAGAAAATTGCTACTAGGGCTCAGATGATACACTGAGCTGACAGAACTGGACTGGCAGGGGTGGAGGGAGGCTACAGAGCTATCCTGGGCTTGGCAAGTGGGCCACAAGCAGAGTCTAAGTCAAAGTCATCCCCTCTACAGACTGGTCACTGCCTTGTGGGAAGTCAGGTCAGGGGGAGCAGGAGTGTCAGACCAGCTTCCCAGAGCTCAGGGTACCCACTGGCCACGTCAGTAGCATGAAGACCTGGGTCTTCACGTGCCAACAGAGGATCCCTGCAGGGCAGGAGCAAGGCAAGCTAGTGAGGAGTGAAGCTGACACATCCTCCCAGGACAGAGGATGTTGCTTGGTTGTAGAAAGCACTGGGGACCACTGCATCCAACCCCATCTTGCTTCTCCCCTTGCCTGGGCACAGCCCTCACCTCCAACTGTTTCTTGCGAGGTTTGCGCTCCCTGACAATCTTGGCCTTCTTGGCTGGTTTCTTCTCGTCACGGTCACTGTCACCATCACCACTAGAGGAGCTGGCTGAGGGATGACTGTTGAATCTGCAGGAGGAAGCATCAGCTGGGAATCAGCCCCATGCCCAGAAGAGTTACTGGGGGCAGGGATCGCAAACTCCAAGAAGGTGCTTTAGCGAGGACAAAAATGAAGGTTATCTGGGGGCATGACATAAAGAGGCCACCTCTGAGACCTTAGCTATAGGGGTAGATGCATTTTACACAGAAGCCAGCCCTTACCCAGAGAGAAGCCAGGGCCTAGCCTGTCCCTGGGAACAAGCCGTAATGTCTTGTTCTGGCTCTGCAATTCTCCAATAGGGCCCTGTACCCTCCCCTCATCTTTCCCACTTGAGGGACTCCCAAGTGAGTGCTGACCTCAAAGAGCAAGCCCCTTGGCCTGTTTTCCTGCTCTTTTAGGAATCCCTCTGGCCAAGGTACAATCTAAGAACATCAGCTCTCATCAAAAGACCATTCTGAAGCACAGAGCCTGACCAAAGACAAGAGGAAAGACCAAACCTCATGCCTCATCGCAGTGCCTGGGATGGGCACAGAACATCAGAGCCCTTGTCCCAGGGTGTTAGGCACCTTCCCCCAAAGAACTTATAGGTAACTAGCTCAAGAACTTTAGATGCAGACAGAACCTGCTACAGAAATGCAGCCAGATCAGAGGGGAAAGATAGTAGCTGCTTCCTTGCTTGTAGCACTGCTACAATGGGGGCAGGAAGTGAAGAATCCAACTGGATCCTCACTAGTCAGCCAAGCCACATTGCTCAGGTGCTGCTTTGCTTAATATTCCCCGCAACTCCTGTGAAAAGCCCCAGCAGAGGGGCAAGCAGGTCAGTCTCACATCTCCTAGAGAAGATGGCACTGACAGCATCCCCTGTCAAGATTCCCTCCTACCACTGAGCCAGGATCTAGAACTGGTGGGCACTGTGAGGGGTAGGCACCTATGCCAAGCCATAGCACCCTCAACCACCACAGCCAGGCTGGCACTGGTAGCACCACTTAGGCCATGCCAAGAGGGTATCAAGGGACACCCACCTACCCATCCACCCAGAAATAGGAACAGGCCCCCCCCAGCCCCTACTCACTCCTCTGCCACATCATCATCCTCCTCCCCAGGGTTGAATGACTCATCTGGAAGAGAAAGCATACAAGTCAGTCTGACTGCTGGGGGTCATGGCAGGCTGGGCAGGAGGTACACAGCAGTCACCCAGCAGTGGAAGCTCTCAGGAGGCTGGGAAAGGACCAAATAAAGGAGACAGGACCTCCCCACTCCCCACCACTGAGACTGAGTCAATAGCCCCAACCACCCACCGCAAGGAGGCAGAATCTCCCAGGTCTCAGCTAGGGAGAGCTCTCAGCTGAAAGGAGAGGAGCACTAGGAAGCAGTCAGCACCAATGCTGCTCCTGCCCCACCTATCCCACCCTACCCGAAGGCAGGGCCCTCACCTGTCTCTTCCCCAGACTCATCGCTGCTGTCATTGGCATTCTCCTCACGGATCTTGCCCTCTTCCTTCATCCTCTCCAGGTAGGCGTCATGCTGGTCCTCATCTGAATCAGCATATTCATCATAGCTCTGCTTGATGTCCTGGAGCACCATGGGGAGGCAGTGAGTGCTGCTCTCCACCCTTTCCCCTTTCCCACCCTCAAAGAGGGGCAGACAGACACTCTCCTCCCCACCCTAGCATGCGGAGAACCTAGAACTACAACTCCCAGCATGCTCCTGGGCACTGCCCTGACCCTAGGAGTCAACTCCACACATGGTGGCCCCAGCACTCTGAGCAGAGGCGGCATGCAGTCCACAGACGAAGGTCAGCACACGTCCAGCGTGCCCCTCGCTCTGGGGACGGTGCGGGGAACACCAGTGGTGTGAACTGGGGTAAGTGAAGCCCACTCAAGGGGAAAAGCAGGGAGCAACAGCCCCCCACTTCCCTCTTATGGCTCATGCATGGTTATGGGGGTTAGTAGGGATCACCACAGCCATGCACAGGAAACCTGCACCAGGAGGAGGAGGAGGAGGAGGAAGAAGAGGGGAATCGGACGGACCTTTTTCTTCTACAAGGGCAAGGAAAGAAGAGAAAATGAAATAGAGGCCGAATCTGGAGCAGAAGAAAGAAGCCCTGGCCCAGCCCAGCCCCTCCCCCACGCACCCCTGGCCAGTCGGGGAGCAATTCCAGAGCAGTAGTGGGAAAGGGGGGCCAGGCCAACCCTGCCATCCCTGCCCCCACCCTGCCAGTACCTCCTTGTGTCCTCGGTTCTTGATGTTCAGCTTCTTGGCATTGACAAAGTCAAAAAGCTTCCCATACTCTTCCCTGCAGGACCAAACAGCAGTCACAAGAAGGCCAGGCCCAACACTCACCCAACCAACACACCACTGGCAGGCCCACAGTATATGTGGGGCACAGCCAACTACCTGGGGGAGGACGGCACTGTGGCAAGGGAGAGGAGCCCATCCCAGGAGGCATGGGACATCAGTAATGAATCACCCAGGGAGCTGGGGGAGGGGGGGAAGCTGTGAGGGAATGGAAGAGGACAGCTGCTTGTGCACCTATAGGATTTAAGCAAGCAGTCAGCATTTGGGTGAAGCACAATCACCTCTCTATGCTCCTGAAGATGTACCACATGCAGTGGTGGGTGAAGGATGAACGGATGCTGGGACAGAGGTAGGGATGCTTACCGTTCTATGCTGCTGAAGGTGTACTGTGTGGCCTGCTTGGTCTCAATCTCAAAGTCAAAGGAGCGGGTGGTAGTGGTCCCACGGGCAAAGTTGACAAAGGAGATCTCGTCAAAGCGGATGTGCACAGGGGGCTTGTGCACATAGATGAACCCACGCTCCAGTGGGTACAGCAGCCCTGAGCTGGCCTTGTAGGAGCAGGTGATGCACTGGGCCCCTGAGTGCCTGTGCGGGCCAGGGAGGGAACACACAGCTGGGTTATACACATAAAAGGTCCATGTGCAGGCACTTGCCCAAAGTCCAGTCATACAGGGGCAATCCCCACTCTCCCCAAACACTCGCATGGTCAGCCACATCAAGATAAGAAGCCTCAGCTCTTGGCACTGTGAGGCAGAAGCCCTCCCCCATCATATTTGAAACCCTTCTCACAGGCAGCTCTGTGTCACAATGCGAGAAGAGAGAGCTTAGTACCACTGTCTTGGGCACAGCAGCTTATGGACCATTGAAATCTCTCCCACGGGGGCAGCTCTGAGTCTTCTCAGAGCAAGAGCAGGCAAAATCTGGCCCGCGGGACCCCCTAAAATATTTAGAAAATATTTATCTGCTCCTGGCTGCCTGTCAAAGACAATAGGCACTGGGCAGGAGAACCCAGGGAGAGCTGACAGCAGGAGGCAGGAGCCCAGCCACACCCACCCCCAGCTATTTCCCTGCTTCCTGCCCTCACCCTGCTCCAGCACCACATGGTGCTCCGGGCTTCATGGCCAGACCGGGGAGCACAGGGCCCCAGTGGTACGGGGATGCGTGCCTGCATGTTGGCAGGGGCAGTGTGTGTGTGCATGCACACGTGTAGGCAGGGGCAGAGTGTGCGTGTTCATGTGCGTGTGGGACTCTCCCTATCCCCACACCCCCCCTTCACACTGCCATACACAAACCCCAGCCACCCTCCCTCCACACAGTCCCCCACCCAAGAACCCCATACCCACCCACACCCCACATATCCACACCATGCCCACAGCCCCCAACAAACCTACACCCACCCCCCCACAATATACAAGTGTGAGACTTCAATATAAACTATTGTGCAATCACCTCTATGCACACCACACAAACACATGTAAATCAAGGCGAAAATGTTTTTTGAAATCAAATTAATGGATGTTGTAGATGTTTGCTTTTTAGAATATAATTTGGTATTTTTCCAGTTCCAAGATGGCAAAACCCCTCGCTGAAAGGAGTACTTCTGGGAACATGGGGAGGGACTTCTGGTGGCAAAGGTCAGAGCTTAGAGGGCGGGACTTCTAGTCCCAAGACGGCAACCAGGGGCAGGGTACCTATCAAGGGGCGGGGCTACCCATGCGGCCCTCGACAGCTTGCTAAAAATCGATAAGCAGTCCTCCGCCTGAAATAATTGCCCGCCCCTGCCTCAGAACCAGTCAGTCCCACCTGACCTGGGACAAACTGAAACCAATACCCCCTAGAAAGAAGCTATGCAGACCATTCCCTGTCCTCTTATGCTAAGCAGCCCCCCTACTCTGGGGCCAGACCAGAGTCAGTCTCAGTCAGGCAAAGCCTAACATCCCATTCCCCATGCCCCAAAACACTGGGTCTTCCTGCTGCAGGGTCCAACACCCACCCCCCAGCACACACTATGCCTCACCCCTGGAAGTTGCCAGGTACAGTGATCTTGCGGTTCACTAGCGCTTTCATGACCCGGCTGACCATCTCATACAGGGAGCCGGACATATTCTTCGTGAGCCGGCCCTCAAATCGCTTCTCCACCTCCTCCCTAAGGGGCAGAACAGAAAGTCAGCAGTAAGAAGAGAGATAAGTCTGAACCCACAGACACCCAGAGGCCCAGGAGATTTTGTACCAACAGAGAGATCAGATCACAAAGAGGCCTCCGCACATGGTAAAAGCAGGACTAGCGAGAAGACCAGGGGAAATAAGACAACCACATCTGCTCCCAGAACACCAAAAGAATGATGTCCTGGACATAAGGCACGTTAACACCAATATAAAATGCCACTAGTGTCCAGACCACAGACTATAAGTGATCTCTGGACAGATGCTGCAGTAAGCATTATTACAGTGCCAGTTTGCATTGAACCAACTGCTACGCTGGGATAGCTGAGGACACAAGACATCTACACCGATATATTTTACTGAGGTTTTCCCAGAATAGGATTCCCACATAGGATTATAGTATATTACACCAAAGTAAAGGGGGGAGAGGGGTGTCCACTCCTTTCTTCTAGCCTCCACACATCAAAAGGCCACTCCCCAAGCAGCTCTGAAAGAGTCTGTGAATCAGAGCCATATGGGTGAGGATCACTAGGCTCTTGGACCAAGCAGTCAGGGTCCTCTAAGACTGATGAAAGGCTGAAGCTTCCTGCCATAAACAAGGTAAAAGCAGCAGGAGCAGACAGACCCTGGCTGGGGCACTAAGCAGGGCTGCAAAGTGTGGGGGAAGGATGCTCACTCATTCATGTTAAGAGTCAGAGAGATGTCCTCATCCTTGGAGAACAGCAGGATCAGGAAGTGGTAGCGCGTCTGGCCCTGCTTTATCGGAGGGTCCAAGCTGATCTGGAGAAGCAGCCAAGTACAGGGTGAGGTGAGGGATGTCCACAATCCTCCTATTCCACCCCCAACCCAGAGCCCAGTCAGTCCCTCCTGACTTTGGGACAGATTGAAACCAGTACCCGCAGAAGGGGAAAGGCCCCATGTCCTTCTCACAACTCTCTTGAGCTAACCAGCATCCTCTGCTCTGTGGTCAGGCTAGAGCCAGAGTCTTCTAGAAGAGCAAAGCTCAAAATCCCATTCCCCACTATGCTGCCCCAAACCCCTACCTCCACAACAACATGAGTGCTCCTCTCTCTTCACCAGGCTCTCTACCCCTATCACACCCCATATCCTGACACAAAGGAGATTTACTGGGTCTTTGAAGATAGTTCAAAGCTTAGAGACCAGGGGATGAGCTGTCTGCACTCTGAGAAAGGAGGGATGCTCACCACAAAAAACATCTGCCGCTGGTCCTTGTGGGGCAGTAGGAAGAGCCGCAGCACGGTGGGGTAGGGAATCTTATAGTCAAAGGTCTTGCCATGCAGATGCAGAAAAGTGGGGTAAATGCGAATATCGTAGCGACCACGTGGCGTCAGGCACTGCAACTCCCGGAATATGCAGATGGCGTCCCCAGTTGCTTGGATGACATCTGCCTTGGAGAGCACGTTCTGGGCAAACGCCTATCTCATACGAGGGAAAGGAGGAAAGGAAGTGGGGTTAGCAGAGGCTTCCCCTCACCCTTGCCCTGCCTGCCAGCCCTCCTGGCCTACACGTACCTCCACAGGGTCCACACCGTCCTCCTGTGTGGGAGGGACGTAGAAGCGCACCTCCATGAGGGACACCTCAGCATCATCATTTTGATGGAACTCCAACGTCACTTCATTCTTGCCCGTTGTACACTGTGACACATTGCTGAGAGGGATCTCAAACACTGGCTGCTCCCCAATGTCAAAGGAGAGAAGCTGGCCTGCACAGAGCAGTGGAAACCAAATAGATTGGCAGGAGTCACCAGACTGCCCCACACAGTGGGGGATCCCAGCCAGTGCCCTTTCATGAGCAGGTTCACCTTTCATTGATCTTTTCTATTCAACCATGGCCAAAAGCAAAATGCCTCTGCACAAAAGGGCAGAACAGCAGGTTCCTCTCTCTCAGCTTCACTCTTGCGAGCACGCATCATTTGCAGTAGGGCCAAAATAGTTTCACTGCAGCGCCAAAGATGTGCCCCAATTCCACTCCCTCCCATCCAACTTCTCCCCAACTCACCTCCAAACCGCACAGTTCCCCAGTTCCACCCTTTCACACACAGGTCCTTCTCTGCCAGTTCTAGGCGATAGTGAGATTTAAAGAAATCTGAGAGTTTGTCAAACTCCTAAGTGGGAGAGAAAACATAGATGAAAAGTGATTATGAACCTCTGGCTTAAGCCATACCTCTTACCCCAACCCATACCAAAGCACTGGACTTCCTTCCTCTCCGAGAGAACAGACTAACATTAGTACCACAGCAATGCCCCTGGAGTGATGACAGAGCAGCTGAAGGAGACTCTAGCAGGAATACTCATCCAGGAGATGGCCTGGTTGTAATTTGTAGTGCTTACCAAGAAGCACAGAGTAGACCAGAGGTGGACAAAATGCGGTCCGCAGGCCATTCTATCCGGCCCGCGGAGCCCATAAAAAAAATTCAGAAAATTAATATTTATCTGCCCCTGGCTGCCTGTCATGTGGCCCTCGATAGCTTGCCAAAACTCAGTAAGTGACCCTCCGCCCGAAATAATTGCCCACCCCTGGGGTAGACCCTGTTATTATATTGAAAGGACAGCAGGGAGGAGGTGTTACCAGTACTGAGTCTTTGCTGGACAGTTCATAGGGAGAGACTCAGGTTCAGAAAGCACTGGCAGCTCACACAGAAAAGCTGAGAGCCAAAGGTCACAACAAACTGTATGGTCCAGGAAAAAGATACACAGACGGTAGGAGGAATGAGTGCATGACTAGAACCCAACAAGATGTAACACTCATGAGGGCATGAGCTGCACGCCTAGCATCCAGCAAGAGGCTAAGAGACCATATGGAGGGGGGGGGGCATGTGGTCCCCCCTCCACTCTTGAGAAGGCAGGAGGTCTCCCCCACAAGGACACCAGCTGCCACCTCTGACCCTGGTCACTATCAAAAGAAAAGGACTCACCGATTCCCTGAAACCATCATACTTGTAGACGTGGCCATTTTTGGTGATCAGTTTGAGACCATGGCCCAGCGCCACACGGCGCCAGACACCCTCCGACAGCTCCGAAGCTTGGATGTTGTCCACTTTGCCTGTCTTGCTGTTCTTGAAGATCACACCTTGGCGACTCAGGCGCAACCGCCCATCATTCTGGCAGGAAGAGACACAGAGGTTGGTGGGCAGGAGCCAGAACCTCCCCCACACAGGCCATCGCCCATGAGCAAGATATGAACAAAGTGGACAGAGCCAGGGAGCGCTCCCTGAATCACCAGTAGAAGCCAACCATCCTCTTACATTTGAGCCAAGGAGGCCTCACTACCGCTCCTTTTGAAAATAAGACTGTATGCATCTTGCAGGCCAGATGTAACATACCAGCAACCCCCACTCCCTGGGCAAGAGGCACCCCAAAATCAGCCATTCCTCATCCTCCAACAATGACTCCCACAGGAGCTCCATGGTTTGGGACACAACCAACCAAACTGGCAGTGTGCGCCCTGCATTCACACCCTGTTTTGGCTTAAAAAACAACCGACCATTTGGGACAAGAACCCTGCTCAGCCGTATTTCACAGGCACGTGAATCAGTTGGGAACATTTGTGGGAACTGCAGCCACACATTCAGATGTCCCGGGACTCAGATAAGTTAGCTTATGAAGCTTAAATCCCTGCACACGTATGTGGTCAACCAACAAACGGACACACCTCAATCTTAAATTTCTTGTGCAAGCCAGATCCCATGCTGCAATCACTCAAGTCATGGACCCCTCCCACAACCTCCACAACCCGATTCAGAAGTTTAGGGCAGGAAGTTATGAGTCTTCCCTTCCCCAGATAAAATGCCAGCTGGGAACGCAGGCAGGATTCTGGGGCTACGGCCTCAGTCCCCTGGACAGCCTCAAAGCCCCTTTATTACCCCACAGATGCTAAACCAAACAGGGTCCGATCATGTTGTGCCTCCTCTGAAAGTAAGCCAGCCCCAGTCCCAAGCGCTGGTGTCAGCACAGACTCCAGGACACTACCTCCCTCCAGGGAAATGGGGAGAAGGTCCCGAATTTAAGGGCCTGACACAGGGCAAGCCTCCTGAGCCTGAAGCACACAGTAAAAAGGAGACAGGCGAGAAGCTGGGCCACGTGCCCCAGGCCCCTACAGCAGGTGCCATGCGGTCCCCCCCTCCACTGCGCCCTGCAGCTGTCCAGCTCAGCCTGGGGGCAGCCCCGGGGTCCCCCGCCCCGCTCACCATGGACCCTTTCACCTCCTGGTAGATCTCGTTGAACTCCAGCGTGTCGGCCATGGCGGCTCCTGCCCCCTGCGGCCCGCGCCCGGCTGGCAGGGCAGCGCCTGGGGCGGCGGGACCCGGCGGGGAAGACGCCCAGGGGCGTCAGCACCCCGCTGCAGCCGGCGAGCACCGGGCGTCGGCCGAGCCGGAGGCACCTGGCGGCGAGACTGGAGGGATGAGCCCAAGGCGGCCCCGCGGGGGGGAGGGGGCAGAGCGGGCCCCGCACACCCCACCCTCCACCCGGGGTGCGCGGCACGGGGGGGGCCACGTAGCCGGGGGAGGCAATCCCCCTCCGCCCGATCCCCGACCCTTGCCCCGCGCCTCCCCCGCTCACCGGGGGTCACTTTCCCGCCTGCGCAACACGAACCCCGCGCGAAGCTTCCGCCACCGGAAGGCGCCCCCACTTCCGGCCCGGGCGGCCATGGCGACGCCGCAAGCCGCTCTAGGCCGCCAGCTCTACCATAGAGCTGTGGGAGGCCTCCGGCGAGAGAGGGCGCGCCGGGGGCAGGCGCTCGGGAGCATAGAGTGTCCGGAGGCCTGAGGCTAGAGAGGCCGCTTGGCGGCCGAATCCCCTGCGTAGGGCTGGGAGGAGGTGGCGGCTGTGGGGGCGCTGCTGCGGGGTTCGCGGCGCCTGTCGCCATAGAGTCCTGGGAGAGCTCTGGGCAGAGCCCCCCCCCCTCCCCCGGGGCTGTTAAGGCGACCCCCGCCTGGTCAGTGTCCCGGGCTGACGCGTCCTCAACCTCAGGATGGTTCTTGCGTCACAGGGTGGCCACGTGGCGTGGTGACATCATGACGCCCAGCTGTGGCATCACCGCTGCCAAGCCCCCCTGCCCACCCTTCTGGCTGTGGGGCCAGCCCCTGGGGAGAAGCAGAGGGGTTGCGTGCTCCCCCTCCCCTTGCAGGGTGAAAGCGCCGCGGGGTGTGTCCAGGGGAGCCTTCATGGCCCCTACGAAGTGTGAGGGCACCAACACCTCCAGAGCATGAGCTGCTGTGACCGGGAGGGCCCGGCGCCAACACTATTCTCTACTATCCCACAGCAACACTCGTGTCACCGTCACACTGCATTGCCACCACAGGCTGCCCTTCCGTGTGTGGGTGATTACACCAGGCACCAGCCCTGCTGAAGCAAGGGGCAAGGAAGGGGCAGTGGAGTGGAGCTCCATGATACGTTGTGTGTGCTTGCTGGAACTGTCGTTCCCATCACACACCGTGTCCCAGCAGAGCCGACGTTCCCGGACGTTCTGCACGAGGCTCTAACGCTCCAACCCACATGGCTGGCTGGTTGGGAGTTCATTGTGGTGCAAGCACAAAGCCTAGTGGGTAGCATGGCCAATCTGTCCCTGTAGCTGTGACAGAGGACTGGAGGAGGGGGTTGTCAACCTCCAATAATCAGATGAGTCCTTTCCATGCGGTCTCAGCAGAGAGACTGCAATTAAGGCCTGCATGAGCTCTGGAGGGATAAACACCTCCCTCACCCTTCAAGAAGCAGAGCTAGGCATGTTAAGAGGCATAACACAGGCAAGGCGGGCATCTGGCTTGGTCACGTGCCTGTTCTGCGGGTAAATGGACCATGTTAGTCTTCAGGGACCATTTTTACCTGCTGCTCACCAGCTGCTGATTTGTCCCCAGAGAGATCTGTATTTGCTTAGCTTCCTCCCCCTTCCTGTTGGCACAGAGTTGGGATGGCAGGGGCAGTTAACTGAGGGTAAGGGACATTGGCACGGCTGGTCAGGGAGAAGCTGCTGAGCTGAGATGCGCTAAGTGGATTCCTCTCTGGAATCATCAGGTGCATTAAGGACCTACTCACTTGCACACACCAGGGAAGCTGCTTGGCAATGAACAGGCTATGAAGCCCCACCTTTTCCTGCCTCTCCCCACCAGCATCACCGTCCTCTGAGAATGGGGGTGGAGACTGTATAAAGGGGTCCCTCAGCTCCAGCCTGCCCAGAGTAGCAGCAAGGCAGAGGAAGGCTACCATCTGGATCCCAGGTTTAAAGGAGCAGCCCTCCCAAGTAGCTCTGAGAGCATCACCCATCACTCCACTGATCTCCCATCCCTGCCTTGGTCTCAGCATCCCATCTCGACGGGGCTAGCAGGCATTAGCCAGTTCTTCCCACGCTGTACCAAATGCCCACGGTCTCTTCCGGGATGAATTGTGTAGCCAACTTCTTCACCTATGAGACCACCAAGTCAGTGGTGGTGAAGAGCTGGACCATCGGTGTGATCAACCGCGCCGTGCAGCTGCTCATTGTCTCATACTTCATCGGGTAAGTGCAAGGAGCTCAGCACTGGCCTGGCCAGCACCCTGACAACCTGTGACTGGTTCCAGCCTGGAACAGGGTGAACCCCAGAAGATGAGAAGAGGTCCCCTCCAGCAGAGACCTGTCCAGCCGTGATCCCTGCTCCTGAAGGAGAAAGGGCAGGGGGCAGGGACAGGCTGACCCACCCTAACACAGAATCCTTTCTGAGGACGCCTCCACAAGCACACGTGTAAATGGTGGGTGGAAGGGGTACTTGCTGGGCAGGGTGGAATATGATTGACTCACCCCCCACCTGCAGTGAGTTCCCATCCTTCCCAACCCCCACCTTTCCCCAGCCTGGGAACAGCCAGACAGCTCTACACAGGGGAAGAGGGTGGCCTTAGCAACTCCAGAGTCCCCTCTACCCAGAGCTGTCCTGGGACTCTATGTTGACAAGCATATGTGAGCTCCCAAGGAGTGAGAGGCATTTAGGTGAACTGAGATGGTGTGGAGCTGAGCATCCAGAGCAGGAGGGTGAGATTCAGGATTGGAGGGGAGAGAGAAGATAAAGGGATGATGACAAGCAGGAGCACAAGGCAGTGCAGACGAGCGGGGCTGGAAAGTGAACTCTAGGCAGATACAACCAGAAAGGAGGCTGAGGCAGGTGCCTAGGGTGAAGGATTTACATCACACACAGCCCAGGGTTCCCTGGGACCTTCTTGGCATTGACATCAGAGAGGGGGTTGCAAGGGCAGGACTGTGGGATTAAGTGTCCAGGCTCCCACTGCTCCAACTCAGAGTGCCAAGCGCTGTCTCCCTCTGGCCATGGAGACTCAACTATCCCCTGGCTCCACCAGTGTTCTGAATCGACATGCATGGTATGTTTGTGCATAAATGCATGCGTGTGTAGTCATGTATGTGTGTATGCATGTAGGGGGGTTGTATGGAGAAACCATGGGTTCAGGTTCATTTACCCTGTCCTAATTCCCGCAAACACCCCCCATCAACCCTTAAGGGGGAATGTGCAAACCCAGCCACTGTGTTCACCGGCATGGTGGCAGAGTCTGTCATGGGGACCAGCAAGAATGCCTCAGGGTGAATGGGTGGTGGAAGTCTCTGCATGGATGTGTCCAGAGGCAATGGCTGTGGGTGGGAAGGAGTGGTGAGAAGATCACACATGTATGGGATGGGGTGAGACAGTGACTGTGAAAAGGGGTGCCAGTGTGTGTTCCTGCGCAAATGTGAAAGGCATAGGCGGAGGGAGAAAAAACTATTTGGGGGTGCTGAGCATGCATGTGCCCC